GGGGGGGGGGGGTGGTTAGGGCCTCCGGCGGAGCCTGCTCTGGAGGCCTGCAGAGTCTCGCACCCAAATCCCATTGTTTCCAGGTAACTTAACCGTGGCCCACAGACTCTTCAAAATGAAACCCAGAGGGAAAAAGACTGGCCGACAAATAAAAATTCAGGGCATTAGTGAGTGCGGGTAACCTCAAGCACAGGGAACCGAAGTCTTCAACAGAGCAGAGACAGGAAAAACTTTTGAAGAAGTTAATGGTTGAAAAGATTTCAAATCTGATGAAAACTGTAAACCTGTAGATACAAGAAACTCAACAAATAGCAAACAAAAGAAAATGAAAGGAAAGTGTAACAATTGCTGAAAATCAGGAATAAAGGCGGCAAGTAGGGTGGAGGAACAAAGACCTTGATGACAGCAGACTTACAGAAACAACGCAAAGACAGCAGAACAACATTTTTAAAGTACTGCTTGAAAAAAGCTGTCAACCTGGATTTCTAAACCAGTGAAAATTGCTTTCAAAAGTTAAGGTGCAAGAAAGACCTTTTCAGATGCACAATTTCACACAAAAAAGACTGGCAGTAGAAGAAATACAAAAGGAATACATGAAGCAGAAGGAAATACCAGATGGAAATCTGAATCTACATAAAAGAATGAAGTGTACAAGAAATGACAAATAGATGAGTAAATATAAAACTTATTTAAAGATCGTTTTAGAAGAGTGGTTCTCAATGGGGGCAATTACCCCCGGGGAGACATCTTTGACGGTCGCAGCTGGGAGCGCGACCGACGGTGCTGTTGGCAGGTGCTGTTGGCACTTAGCGGGTAGAGGCCAGGGGCGCTGCCAAACACCCTGTAATGTGCACAGAAACACCTCCCTCCCCTGCCCACCAACTATCAAGAATTATCTGGCTCAAAACGTCAACAGTACTGAAGTTGAGAAACACTGCTTTAAAAATGACTATTTACAAATTATAACCATGTATTTTGGGGTTTATAACAGAAGTAAAACATGACAACAGCACAAAGACCAGGAGAAGGGAAATGGAAGCACACACTGAAAGGTTCTGATAGGTGAAGTATTACAGTTTACCTTCAAATAAGAAGTTAAAGGTTTTACTACAAACACTAAACAAAATCGAATCATAAATAGTCCAAAAGAATGAAGAGAGATAAAGAAGAACAGAAGAGACAAATAGAAAACAATGAACAAATGATAAAGATCATTTAAAATGATCTGTAAAACTGATACGATTTAACCGTATCAATTTCATTAAATATAAAAGTGGTCTAAACACTATGCCAAAAGAAAGTCAGACTGGATTAAAAAAAAAAAGCAAGATCTAACTGAATTTTATAAAAAGACAAATAGGTTAAAAAGGTAAAAGACCTACTATGCTAACACCAATCAAAAAAAAAGCTGGAGTAGTTACATTAATATCAAAGTATAATTCAGAACAAAGATTACAGAAATAGTCATTTCATAATGAAAAGGATCAGTGCATTCATCACAAAGCTATGACATTTCAAATGTTTATGCACTTAATACCACTTTGAAATGCATGAAGCAAAACTGATAAAACTAGGAGACACAGACAAGCCCATAATTACGGTCTCTCAGCCATTGACAGAAGAAGTAGATAATCAGTATGGAGATTCAAGACCTCAACAACAGTATCAACCAACTTGACCTAACGGACACCCCACCCCAAACAACAGCAGAATACTCATTTTTTCAAATGCAGAGAATATTTACCAGTGTAGACCATATTCTAGGCCACTAACATGTCCCAATAAATTTAAAGGATTCAAGTCATTCAAAGTGCATTCTCGGGGCACCTGGGTGGCTCAGTAGGTTAAGCATCTGACTTTGGCTCAGGTCATGATCTCACAGTCCGTGAGTTCAAGCCCTGCGTTGGGCTCTGTTCTGATAGCTTGGAGCCTGGAGCCTGCCTCAGATTCTGTGTCTCCCTCTCTCTGTGCTCCTCCCCCGCTCATGCTCTGTCTCTCTCACTCTCAAAAATGAATAAATATTACAACAACAACAACAACAACAAAACAAAGTGCATTCTTCAATCACATTGGAGAATTGCTTAGAAGCAAATTTACAGCTCTAAATGCTTATATTAGATGTTCTAAGCTCAAATCAATGACCTAAGCTTCCACGTTAAGAAATTAGAAAAGTGAGAGCAAAACAAAAAGAAGATAAAAACAAGAAGTCAATGAACTAGAACACAAAAGCAATAGAGACAAATCAATGAGGCCAAAATATGGTTTTTTTTTTGAGAATATCAATAAAATTAATAAATCTTAAACCAAACATATATAAAAGGACAAATTACCAATATCACGAGGAGAGAGCGAGTGCCATTACTACAGATCCTACAGATTTTAAAGGATAATATTAACAAGTTTATGACAATAAATTTGAAACCTAGATGAAAGAGATAAATTCCTCAAGAGACACAAATTACCAAAGTGCATTCGTGAAGAAATAGATAATCCCATAGCAAAGAAACAGAATGTGTAGTTAAAAACCAAAGAAAATTCCAAGCACAGATGGCTTTTATTGGTAAATTCTACCAAACATTTAAGGAAGAAATACTAATTCTGTACAAACTGTTCAAGAAAACTAAAGAAGAAGAAACACTCCTCAATTCATTCTATGAGGCCAGCATTACCCTGACACCAAAGTCAAAGACATCACAAGAAAACTACATGCTAATTAATATCCATCATGAATATAGACATGAGCAACAAATTACCAGAAAATTGAATCCAGCAGCATATAAAAAGGGTAATATGTCATGATCAAGTAGAATTTATCCTGGGAATGCAACGCTGATTCAACATTCAAAAATCAATGTAACTTACCATATCAACAGATGAAGGAACAAAAATATGATAATCTCAACTGAATGCAGGAAAAGCCCATGACAAAATTTGATACCCATTATAAAAACTCTTAGCAAACTATGATTAGAAGAGAATTTTCTTAACTTGATAAAGGGTGTCTACAGGAATACATTCAGCTCTATTTAATGTGAAAGAATACATTCTCACCAAAATGGATGGATGATAAACAAATGGAAAGATGATTAATATCATTAGTCATCATGAAAGGCAAAATTAAACCACAACGAGATATCACTGTTAGAATGGCCAACACTGCCACCACCACCTGATACCAGGAAGCACCGGTGAGGATGTGCAACTAGAATTCTCACACATTGCAGCTGGGAATACAAAAGGGTACAGCCATTATCAAAAGGAATTGGGCAGTCTTACAAAATTAAATATATAATCCTACTTGTAGGTATTTACACAAGAGAAAACATAATGTTCATACAAAAACCTATATGGAACTCTTTCTAGCATTTATACTTGTATTTGCTAAAAACCTGAAATATCCTAAATCTGTTTCAAATGGTGAATAAACTATGAATAAAAGGAGCATGGGGCAGTATTCTCTGTAATTCCATCTATACAACATTCTAGGAAAGACAAAACCAAGGCAACAAAAAGAGGCCAAGAGGTGCCAAGGGCTGGGGTGAGCAGAAGGATGACAACACAGGGGCACAGGAGAATTCTGGGTGTGATGGACCGGCCCTGTACCCTGACTGTGGTGGTTACATAATGACGTTCATCAGCACCTGCAGAGCTATGCTCCTACCAGGGTGAAGTTTACTGAATATAGGTAACTTCTTACTCTCCAGATAATAACAAACATTTAAGCACCTGATACGAATGATGGCTAGACAGAGATCTGAACCCGAAAAGATAATCCCAGCTCTCAAGGAGTTAGGAGATGAATAGCAGTAATAACCATTATCCTTAAGCATAGCTCACCCTTTAAATAGGGTTTACCATATGGCAGACGTTGTTCCAAGTACTTCACACATGTGTGACCCGGGATCCTTACAATAACCCTATGAGTACAGGTTGGATTTAAAAAAAATTTTTTTTAAATGTTTATTTTTGAGAGAGACAGAGACAGAATGCGAGTGGGTTAGGGGCAGAGAGAGAGGGAGACACAGGATCCAAAGCAGGCTCCAGGCTCTGAGCTGTCAGCACAGAGCCTGACGCAGGGCTTGAATTCACAAGCTGTGAGATCATGACCTGAGCTGAAGTCGGACGCTCAACTGACTGAGCCACCCAGGTGCCCTGGACAGGTAGGATTTCTAGTGCCACTTGATAGTTGAGCAAATTTAGCCGAAGAGGGTTGCATAACTGGCCAAGGTCACACAGCAGAAAAGTAGGAAGCCCAGGTTCAAAGCCAGGTAGCCTGGCTCTTAGCACTTTGTAATCCTTGCCTCCATTTGTTAATAAGTCATCCTAAGTTATATGGCTATTTGAAGCAAAGTGAAATTTAATACTCATTAATTCCATCTTCCTTCTGTAAGCTCCCCTTGCTACTCACAATGGGGGTGCATAAAAAAAATCTTTCAAAAATAGAGTAGTGATTCTCTTCTACTGAGGTTTCCTGTTTGTTCTTTAGTCTGAGAAAGAATCTAAATTACCCAGTTGTAGCTCCTGCTTGGGTTTCCCCAAAGGATCTGAAATGACCTGATAGGGAGGCAACACTCCACCCCTTGGGGAGGGAGAAAAGAGAACAGACATCTGAGATTGGGAGGCAGGGACAGCTCCTCTCCTTCCTTCAAGATGGCAAGCAGCAAGCTCCTTGTTTACACGACCACTTTATCTTTTTTTTTTTTTTTTTTAAGTTTGAGAGACAGTGTGCACATGTATGCACACACACATGTGGAGGAGGGGCAGAGAGGGAGAGTGTTAGAGAATCCAAGCAGGCTCCCCAAGGCCAGTGCAGAGCCTGACACGGGGCTCAAACACAGGAAACCGTGAAATCATGACCTGAGCTGAAATCAAGAGTTGGACATTTAACCGACTGAGCCACCCTGGTGCCCCTACATGACCTCTTTACAATTAGAAAACAAAAACAAAAACAAAAGGCTTGAGAGACTTCTGGCAAAACCAAAGGGTAAAAGAGCAAGGGCAAATGAAGGGAGGACCAGGGGTGACAAGGACTTCTGAGGTGCCGGTAACATTGTATTTTTTAATCTAGATGGTGGTCTGCAGATGTATTCACTTGAGGACCATTCCCAGAGTTGTATGCTTATTCACTTTTCTGCACCTATGTTATACTTCAATATAACAACATATTTAAAAGTAACGTGGAAGGGGGAATTATGCAGGAAAAAAAACCCTAGTTGGTTCCTTTCTTCATTATAACATATGAGTAGATAGTTTTAATATCCAGAGATGTTTCAAAACCAATCTTTGGTTTCACACAGCGGTCTAGAATTAGAACACTCGATTATAACCAAGACATAAGGTCTTCTAAGTTAAAAAGATCTCTAGAAAGGAACTCTGGGTGCTTTAAAAGAATATACTAATTTCTCCCCCAAATACAACGATAATACAGTGCAAAATACACAGAACGAATACGACAACCAAAGCTCGGGCACAACCTTTATCGGGCAAATGGAACAGAGGCGTCGAGATGGGGACTACCTATTCTCTGGACCGCACAAAGCCAGGGCACACCCTTAGGGAAAGAAGAAAGGATCAATGTGTCAGATCCAGAACTTGAATTGATTCTACTTTCTATCTCAAAAAAGAAGAAAGCAGTCCGCATGGCAACCACAATTGTACCTTTTATTTTCCATGAAAGGTATTCAGCTAGTCAGTGGTTGCCATTCCTGGATGCACATTAAAATCACCTGGGGGAGATTTTAAAACATTCTGAAATACTGGGCTTGATTGAAGATTATTTTTTTTAAAGTTCCTTACCTGATTCTGATGTGAACCCAGGGTTGAATACTAACTAATTTAGGTAGTACTGAATCGTGTTCCACTTGGTTCTTTCCCTGTTCCCAATATTTTGTGTTCTGATACCTTAGCTAATTACGACTATTCTAATTTATAGGACTGTTTCCTTTTCTGGTACTAATTATTAATACCTCTTCATAAAAAGCAAGCAAGCCTGAAGAGCTTGATTACAATTCTCAGGAAAATCAATATTTGCATGTAGGACAAGGAAGGAAAAGAAACTGAGACGGACAAGTCCCGGTGGCCAGACCAGCAGGTGATGTCACAGGGAATGAACATGAAACTCCTTCCAGGATAATTTAGATTGTAAAAACTAGCTTCTTAGAACCCTGACTAATCAATACCGGAAGTGACTGAATACGGACAATCAAGGCTACTTCTCCTTTAATACTAGCCCCTGTTTTGCTTGGCAAACAGGCTTCAGAGAAAGATAAAGAGGCTTTTCAAAAGGGCAGGCATGCATTTCAATACTCACGTCTTCTCCAAACACTGGAGTCTCACACAGACATGATGTGTCAGTTACGCCGTATCCTAGCAACATCTCACAAAGAGAAGAGTATGCGATGCCAAGCAAGGCTTAACCTAGTGTTCAAATGTAAGTCATGAGGTGGCCTCGCTTTGGGGAATCCTGTTCAAGTAAACGTTACCCGAGGAAAGTGTGTGCTAGCACCGGGCATCTTCCCCCCTAAAGAAAGGAGGTGGGGGGAGGTGGTTCTCACTCCGGAGTTTCACCCACTTGTTTTTCACTCCTGAAGCTTCGGTGTAGCCGTGGCTCCATACAGCTGGGGCTCCAGATCCATCTCCTGCTGAAGGCTGATCAATCTTGAAACAGCGGATGTTACTAAGGAGAAAAGGAAGAGACGGGAATCGTTAGAACCAAATAATGTGTGAATTGCTCCCTTTGTCTGCTAAGCGCCAGGTACTTACCACTCCTGTGTTTAATGTGTCTGAACAATCTCTTATCAGCCAGAAGAACTAGCTACTCAACAAAGCGAAAGCAAAGGAGAGTTATATAGACAGAGCCTGAAAACTCATTTTCGTCAGCGTCCTAGGGTGGTTATCAGAGACCTTCACACATCGCCCTAGATGGCGGCTGTCTCCCAGGAGCGAGAAGGACCCCTCTCAACCTCGGCATGAGAAAAGAAAACATTACGTCGGGTGTATTCTTACAACGTGAACACCAGATTTGAAAAGTATGAAATCTAAGCCACAGTTATACTGTATTTGAATGCTGTGAGCAAATTCTGCAACATTCATCCTCAAATCCAGTGTCTGCCCATTTTGCCCCTTCAGAGGTTTCACAAATACTGAGGACTTGCCATCCCCGAAGCTTCCGGTTCTTTCCTCATCGCCCGGCCATTCATGCTAAGACTAATAACCATAAAATTATGAAAGGGGTATTTCAACAAATCACACATGAACTGTGTGGATTTAAACTGGGAGAGAAGTCATCTCCCTTGCCACAACTGGCCCAACAGGACCCAAGACTGAAATACTAAAAGCGTAAACTCTTGAATGGGGTTTTTAAAGTCCACCCTACTAGAAAGCATTCTGTGCCCCCAAACAGGAAATTCTGCAGATGTGAAATAGGTTTTGAAAAAGGCTGGCTACCACATGGTGAACTTAATCCCACTTATAAGTTGCTACTAGTTTTCTCCCTCTATTACTTAAGAGAAAAATCACGTGTGCCGTCTCTTAACACAAACACTTTTGTCATGACCCCAAGAATTTATCTGTTGGCATTCATTAACTCCAAAATACAACCCTTCAACTTTAAGAAGGAAATCTATATCTAATTGCATTCACTTTGATTTTAGAAATAGCTGGTGGCGGTTTCTTTGAAATTTAAAAATATTTCTTAAAAGAAAAGTTTCTACTCTCAATTGGCAGCAAACATTCGCTCTTCCCTTTATCCTCAAAAGCCAAAAAAGCACCAACAGAAAATCCTGAAATGAGATTAATACCTTATTTTACAGCAGGGCTATTTATCCTCTTTTCAGAAGTTGTCATTCCTACCAAGAAAAGAGGGGCATTGAATGAGTCTGCTGTTATCTGCTGTTCATGGGACCCTGCTAGCAGATTTCATCCATGCAAAACGGTAAGCACATGCAAAGGGTTTCTTAATAAGGCATAACTAAGGGTTTCACTGCATCTCTGCTGCCTTTCTGAACTCCAGAGAAAAACTGAAGGCTCATTTCTAAAGACAGTTATGCTTTTTATGATAGAACACAGAGCCTTCAAAGAAATAATGCCACTTCCCGGCCTGAGTATGCTATTTTTTTTCCCCTAGCCTGAGTATGAACGGGAAAAAAAACAATCCTTGAACTACCCCCCGCCCCCCAAAAGCTTCCCAGTGAAGCAGGGGTTTCTCGTTCTCTGCCCAGCTGATAGTGTGGCTGAGCAGCTGTCCGAAACGACCTGAACGCTGACTCTTGCACATCTTCCGAGGAGTCTGAGAGAACATGCGAGCCGGAGCTCAGTCACAGTCACGCAGAAGCGTCAGCCTGTGCCCTTACCCTGTCTCACACAGAATAAACAGGCCATCCCTCCAACAGCACAAGAAATACAGTAGATACGGAAGCTCTTCCAAGTTACTAAGAAGCCACAGCCTCCCAGCTGTGAAACAGAAGGCATCATTTTTACATAAAAGTGTTATGTGGGCCCCTGGGTGGCTCAGGCGATTAAGTGTCCCACTCTTGATTTCGGCTCACGTCATGATCTCACAGTTCCTGGGGTGGAGCCTGTGTTAGGCTCTGCGCTGACAGCAGGGAGCCTGCTTGGGGTTTTCTCTCTCTCTGCCCCTCCCCCCCCCCACGAGAACTCTCTCTCAAAA